TTAATTTTTGTAAAAGGCTGCAAGGCTGTTGTACCCCTAAAGGTGAAACTTTAGCATATTTTTTTCTAACAGATTTATCCTCCTCCATGGCTCCTCCCTCTGTCGGCTCCACCGTGGGCCGTTGTTATGGCTGTGGCCTGGGTCCTGCTGTGCTCTTCCTGCTCCGGGTCCCTCCTGTCTCCTCCCTGGACTCTGTCTGCCGGCCCCCTTCCGGGCGTCCGTCCTCGTCCTGAGCCTCCTCCCTAGTTCCCACCCACTCCCCCTCCCCATGTTGTTTCTACGGTGCGAGGATGCACCTTCCGGGAGGGGGGAGTAATGTCACGCCCCTGGACTCTTTGTGTTGTGTTTTCCCTCCCCAGGTGTGCCGTGTTCCCTTTAATTAGTCATTCCTTGCACCTGTGTTTTCCCAATCACCCAGTGTTTAAAAGCCCCAGTCCTTTCAGTTAGTGGTAACAATGTTTAACAATGTAATGTAATAATGTGGCAATGGTTTCTTAAGATCTACTTATGCTTCTGATGCTTTTGGGAAACGCAGCCTTTTTTAAACAAGCACTGTGAGCCATGCGTCAGCAGCGAACGCTGTCTGTGATTGATTGATTCTGTCTTTCAGCATTTGCGTGTGTTCCGATGAGCAGGAAAAATGGTTCTATCCAACACAATTATTCGCTAATATACTTAGAAGCTTTTTTTATGCACCGAATTTCTTAATAAATAAATAAAATTAATGGTTAAAAAATGCACTTTGAATCGATATTTTTATGTGAGGATCTATCCTTTCGATACAACATCAGTATCGATACTTAAGGATCGATCCGCCCATCCCTAATCAGAGCACACCTCGCTTTTCAGAACAATGAGCTTTGTAAAAATTGACGTGTTTCAGAAAGGCGGGGCACAGAGGAGAAACAATAATGTACAGTATGCGGAAAATAATGTGTTTCTGTCACACGCTTGAGGTATTCGGCCAATCACAACGCACTGGATAGTTGGCCAATCAGAGCACACCTCGCTTTTCAGAACAATGAGCTTTGTAAAAATTGACGTGTTTCAGAAAGGCGGGGCACAGAGGAGAAACAATAATGTACAGTATGCGGAAAATAATGTGTTTTTTTTTACCTTAAACCGCATAAACACATTTCATTACACCAAATACACAAAATAATGTTCTTTTTAGCAACATCATATGACCCCTTTAAACCCACTGTTGAGTGCAGTGTAGACGCTGTTAGTCATAAAATAATCTTCATTTATTATTCCTTGAGGCATTTTATCCACAACTATACTTTCAGGAATACTCAATTTCTTTATTAGTCCAATATTATTTAAAGACCAGGCATGAGAATAACTTGTGAATGTGATTTGCCTGAATTTTTTTTCACATTTATTCCAACATTTTTGCCATTTATGCCAGTGGTTATGATTTAAATGGCTCGTCGTTCTCTGTTGGTCCATAAAACTTTGCTAAACAAAATAGATCTTACTGAAGTATAAGGCCCCTCCCCACAGGTGATCCATAAAGTCAATGTGTTACCCTGTGAATCTGCCAGAGGCTTTAATATTAAGTTATAGCCAGTCTCTGTGGTCTTATTCAGACCTAGCCCTCGTTCCTCAAGTGCAGAGGTGGACAGTAACGGAGTAACTTTACTTCGTTACTGTACTTAAGTACATTTTTCAAGTATATGTACTTTACTGGAGTCGTGTTATTTTGAGTAACTTTTACTTTTACTTCACTACATTCCAAAGCATAAGATCGTACTTTTTACTTCACTACATTTCATAAAACATATCGTTACTCCTTATAATATATCACGTGCTCCGAGACGCAGAAGCGGTGTCTGATTCAAGAACGAACTGATTCTTTTCAATGAACCCATTAAATCGGTTCGCAAATCGCACCAAACGATTCATTAACGAATTAGAATGAACCGATTGCAGTTGTTCTCGAGTCGACAACTCACTGATTCAAATGAACCGTTTAGTGCGAGTCTCCAGTGAACTGAATTCACAAGTAAAAACCAGGAGATATTGTGAGCGTGCGCGTCTGATG